AACCACCGCCTCAAAAATACCGCCCCAGTGTGGGCAAGCCGGAGGGTCGAATTTCCCGGGGCCCATGGCGGAACACTCGACGAGCAACCAAGGGTGGAGCCCTAATGGCCTATGGACAATTATTCGACACAATAGATATAAGGCTAGGCAATTAAATAGGACATACCTGGTTCTGAAGCTAAGAGTGACCACAAGCCTCGGTCAGGCGGTAGGTAGGTGCATTTAAGTTTGTGTTAGAAAGTGTGTATATGTGTGACCGGACTTAACCGAGGTGATCGGGAAGCGGCCTGGTCCGATGCTGCCCCACGATGTGGTATCAGTCCAGCGGACGTCACCAATTGAAAACTGCTGACTTCATTTCACTATTTCAGTTTATCAACTTTATTGTACACTATTTCAATCTATCAACTTTATTGTACATTTAATTAACTTCAAACTCAACTAAATCCCCCTTAATCGTAATCAAACACGTGACACGCGGCACATTTAATGTACGGTGGGTCAAAGTTCAGCTTCCGTTTTCACTTAGCAACAATTATTTTTGAGACATCACAGGATAAACAAGTCAATTGGGATATGAACACCAGATATGTAGAAAATTGAGTTTTGTGCCGTGATTAAGTTCCCCACTAAGCAAAGAAATACGCCACATATGTTTATGTGAGATGTGTCGTCTAACTACGGGAACTCTTACACTAACAAACACGACGATTTATAAGTGGCATAGCCTTTTAAATGAAGGCAGAAACTCCATTGAAAAGGCTCAGCGTTCAGGCCTAGCGATTGAGGCAATTTCCTCAGATATTGTCAAAACAGCTGAAAAACTTGTACTTGAAGATGCTGGTCTGAAGAAAAAACAGATAACAGTGATGTCTGGAGTATTATCTATACCCATTTTAAACATTTTCCATGACCATCTTGACATGTCTAAGGTCAGTGCAGTGGGCTACAGTAACCACTTATATCAGGTGGACTGTATGCTTGATTATCACCACAATTCGATTAAAAAAACTTTACTTAATAACTTACAAAATAACACTGTGGAAAATGGGCCTTTCCAAATATTAGAAGTATTTGATAATAATTGCCACACTTTTCACGCGGGTAGGTGACCGCATATCAAGTGTTTCGTACCTTAAATTATTTTCATTGATAATTTCCGCTGTACTATATCGACGTCTATGTATATAATATTACAAACCTGAAGTCGTACAAAGACCTTCTAAACTTGTCCGAAGGGCATTTCCTTCTGCGGCATGCCAGTCAAACCAAAAAGTCTTTAATGAAATGGCTGAAACAAATTAGAAAAGAAGAAGATTGCCAAACATGACGCAGATAATGTGTGTACAATGTTAACACATTACATATACGTCTATAAAATACCGGTTGATTCGAGATTGAAGGTTTAAGTCTATAATAATGAATAAAGGTTCTTTGGTAACGTAGCAACCGTCGTTGTTAAGATTTAAAAAAAAACATCATCGGGTAGTGTGCCATATATATGCAACGCCAAATTTTAAAATTAAGTTCAAACATATTAATAATGATAAACCATTAGTACAGTTTTTAAATATGCGAGTAAATAAGGCTTCTACTTTTATTTCAATGTGGTTTATTGGCAACGACGTTTTTGCCTACTTATCGATCCTTACGAATTTGCGTAGTAAAATCAGTTAAATAATGCACTACTTTTTCAAAAAGGACAGAATTACTGCAATATTTTTTTATCAATTTTTCATCACCATTCATATATCATTACTTATTCTGAACCATTTCTGCAAATCTCTTACTTATCTATAAATATAAGAGATTTCCACCTATGCACTGACTCATCACGATATTTCTGGAAACCATAAGATAGGTACGTGAAATTTGGTAGGAATATTCCTTTAGCCGAGTAGAGGTTAGCTAAGAAAGTATTTTAAGAAATTCTACCCGCAAGAGGGTTGCGCGGGCGTTAATTTAAAAAAAATCGTCTCGCTAAAACTCGAAAATTGTTCGTACGATTTTGATGAATCTTTTGAGTGCGTTTGAGTGAGTTCCTGGATCGCTTGGATTCACAATTGCACTCGGTAGGTGGCCCTATTGTTGATGTCCAGAAATCACCCGTGCGAAGCCGTGGAGGATCGCAAATTTTTATACATATGCAAAATAACCCTGTACGTAATAATAACTTATAGTAATGTATTAGTTTATAAGTAATGAAGTAAGTTTTTCTTAACGTTTTAATTTAGGTAGATAAAAATAACTTAAATAAATAAATAAAAATAAAATTACGGCCGATATAGTTGCTCCAATTTAATTTCATCAATAGTATAGAAAAGGAATATAAATTGTAATAAAATGCTGAGTAAGGGTTGTTCAATATTTGGCATCATCTGCGAGATCGTAAGTGGTGCTCAGTGGTCTGGAAATTGATAATGGGATGATTTATGTTACACAACCAGAATTCGGAAGTATGTGTTGTAAGCTATTTGGTTTAAGAACTAATTATAGTCTTCAAATTGTATTTGCTTTGTGTTTTATCGTCGAAAATAAGAGTAATTCGTTAAATTTGTTAAAATTACCAGCAAATTTTGGTGAATAAACACATTTTTGCTGACTTCGAAAATGGAGGAAGTAATTATGAATATGTAACTTTATGCTGCATCAGGGAGTAATTTCCAAAAATAACTGCCCATCGACAAACATCCAGATTCATGCAATTATTGTAGGCAAATCACAAATTATCTTTACGTGGTAGAGTCATACTGCAGTTATATTACTGGTATAGTTGTAGCATGGGTAGGTCGGCTTGCCCAGGAAAGGAGCACGCTCTCATAGAATACCAGTGTTTCGTATGGTGAGTGTAGAGAACCGAAGATCCTTTTAACTGGAAACGAGGCATTCCACCTCAGTGCTTAGAGGTGACAACGCATTTGCATTGTCATTCGTAGTCGGGGATAGACGTAGATGTCTATGGGCCATAGCAACCACTTACTATCATTGTGGACTGTGTGCTCGTTTGTCATTCGTATCCTATTTAATAAAAATTGTTACTCTTACGAGTATATATCTATTCAGCCCCACCAGATGAGAATACTTTATAAATACTCCATTAATAATTGTTCGCGCCAAACGCTAATTTCAAGAATCAACGCCAGGGGGCGTGCAGCGCGGTGATTTCCTATCGGCTGACGTTCGCGCGAGATCGGATTGGTCGCTTAAGGGGCGGGTCGGAAGTGATTGAAAGCAGTGCAGTCACGAGCACGGCGTGAGGTCGTCCCGTATAACTTCTATTAGTGTCGGTTTGTTAGAAAATTTATGCAACGACGAGGAATTTGTGGAGTCTAGAAAAGTAGCGCCGGTTCGATTAATTGTTTGGAAGTTAATGTTCAATTTTACCGTCGCGTTAAGTGCCTTTTGTGTGTTGTCTATGTAGTTTTTTGCGAGCCAGCTAGGCTGACTTTGAATCTTAATGCGGGCGTAGTATTTAATATCGTACGAAGGAATTTAGTTTGTCGGTTGTAACGCTGAAATTTGTGACTCGAGAAGAGACCGCGTTCTTTCTTGTTCGTAGTTATAATCTTGTTGCTACGTGAAACGGAAGTGACCTTTGATTCACCGTTCATTAAATGTGCCGCGTGTTACGTTTTTGATTACGATTAACGGGGATTTAGTTAGAAGTTAATTGAATGTACAATAAAGTTGATGGATTGAAATAGTATATAATAAAGTTGATAAACTGAAATAGTGAAATAAAGACCGAAGTTATCAATTGGTGATCGCCCCCCTTTTGAGAGATCTCACCTTTGGAGTAGAGGCATCGCCTGTGGTCAGACTTCAACGGTCCAGTCGGGTCGAACTTTATACACACCACTAAACACCACTTTACATGCACCGACACCTACCTACGTCCTGACCGAGCCTTGGGGCAGTCTTCGCCTCGGAACCAAGTACGTCCTATTTATTAACCTAGACTATCTCTATTTGTCCATAAGCATTTCGAGCCCCATCCTTAGTTGTCCGTCGAGTCTACAGCTCTATGGGCCCCTGTATGGTCGACTTTCGTTGGGGCAGCTAGGGGCGTGCACAGCCTTTAATAAGCTTTAACACGTTAAACGCCATGTAAGAAATGTGATTTTACTCCAAAAATTTTTTGTAGTCATTTTGTTAATAATCATGATATATGTATAGAAATCAGTTTTTATCGAAATCAAAAATACAGTTTTCAAGTTATTGCTGAAAAACTAGCCGCGGGCACCTGTGACCCCCATGGCGCTCAAAAGCAAAAAAGTTATTTTTCGTTTGCATGCGCCACGCCGCCCACCCCGCCGGTCACCCCGCGCTCCAGTCTATCGCCGGCGCTTGCGCGGAGAGGTTATGTTCGTTTGGTTTTTGGCTAATTAGAATACGTCTAAAGCATATTTCATGTTAGTTATGTTTAGTAATTCATTGCGATGGAAAATAATATAGTACCTAATAATGAGGAACGCGATTTTTGCGAATTTCAAATGGATTTGGCGGACTTTGAATTGTCGCAAGAAGATTTGCAAGAGATTGAGACTTTGGAGTTCAACGCACTTCAGACATCGTTCAGGGACATCAGTAGCGACGATGAGTCTGAAAATTTACATGTTCCGAAGAAAAGAAGACGTATGGTTATCAATTCGGACAGTGAAAGCGATTCAGTAAAAGATTTTGTCCTACAAAATTTACCTACTTCTTCAAACACGTACACAAAATGGAAGAACCCTACTGGATGCACTGCTCGAGTGATACCCTTCACTGAGCCCACAGGTATGAAGTTTCCTTTTTCAAGAGACTTAAGTCAAGGAGATTCAGAGGATTTTTATTCTTTGTTAGTTGACGATTCCTTGTTTGAAATAATTGCTGAACAAAGTAACCTGTTTGCTACGCAAAGCTTTGGAGATAAAGATTTCAAGCCATGTTCTCGCTGACATACATGGCAGCCAACCGATAAGCATGAAATAAAACGATTTTTTGGACTAATTTTATTCATGGGCCTTGTGAAATTGCCATCAATTAGTGATTACTGGAGTACAGATGACATATTTCAACAACCGTTTCCTCGCACAGTGATGACTAGGAACAGATTTGAATTACTTTTACAGTACCTACACTTTGCCGACAATTACAACTTGAATCCGAACGATCGCATTGGAAAAATCAGGTATCTTGTGAATTTGTTAAATGATAAATTTAAAGCCTACTATGCCCCTAAACCATGGTAACGGCGGGGCAGGGGGTGCTAAGAATCTCCGGTGGAGGTTCGGTTGCCACCTACAACGACTCGACCTGGCAACATACAACGCACGCACCCTGAGGACTGACGAGAAGATTGTGGAGCTGGAAGAAGAGATAGACAAGTTACGCTGGCATATTATAGGATTATCCGAAGTCCGAAGAGAGGGGGAGGACACGGTAATCCTCGAATCCGGCAACTTGCTCTATCACCGGGAGGGCGACCATCTGTCCCAAGGAGGTGTCGGATTTATCGTCCACAAGTCTCTCGTTAACAACGTTGTAAAGATTGAGAGTGTGTCGACGAGGGTTGCGTACCTTATACTCAGAATCACCAAACGGTATTCGCTGAAGGTCATACAGGTTTACGCACCAACCTCGGCACACCCCGATCAGGAGGTGGAGGAAATGTATGAGGATATCTCTAGAGCCATGCGTTCCTCCAAAACCCAATATACGGTGTTAATGGGAGACTTCAATGCAAAACTAGGCACAAGAGAGAACGGTGAGCTGAAAGTGGGGAAATTTGGAATAGGGCAACGGAACCCAAGGGGCCAGCAGTTGGCCGACTTCATGGAGAAAGAGGGACTCTTTATGATGAACTCTTTCTTCCAGAAGCGGCCCCACAGGAAGTGGACCTGGTCGAGCCCCGACGGTTCGACAAAAAATGAGATTGACTTCATTATGACGACCAGACGACAACTGTTCAGTGATGTCTCAGTGATCGCGAGGGTGAAAACCGGCAGCGATCACCGAATGGTTAGAGGCACACTGAACCTAAACGTTAAGTTGGAGAGGTCTCGTCTAATGAAGTCAACGCTCCGTCCCCCTCGTGCTCTAATCCAAAATCCCGAAACCTTTCAGCTCGAGTTGCAAAACCGTTTTCAGTGCCTAGAAGACTGCAATGAAGTGGACGATTTGAATGACAAGCTCGTGGAAACTGTCCATGCGGTCGGAGCTAAGTTCTGCAAGACCCGCCGCAGAAGAACACAAAAACTCTCCGATCACACTCTTAATCTCATGGCTGTTAGACGGGAGATGAAGCTACATTCTTCAACAGATTTGACAGCATACAGGCAACTGAACAGACAGATCTCCAAATGCATGCGGCGGGACTTACGCAACTTCAATACAGCTCGTATTGAAGAAGCGATCGAGCGGAACCAAGGCTCCAAAGTCTTTGCCAGAGATCTGTCTGCCAGAAAGAGCCAACTGTCCAAGCTGAAGACCGAATGTGGCAGCATCGTTTCCGGGGCACCTGAGATTTTGAGTGAGATTGAGAGGTTCTATGGGCAGCTGTACACGTCATCGTTGGAGCCACACGCAAGTGTGAGTAACGATCCAAGAGCGAGTCTTATCCGACATTATTCCGATGATATCCCGGACGTCAGTCTGAGCGAGATTAGAATGGCTCTCCAGCACCTTAAAAACGGCAAGGCCCCAGGCCAGGATGGAATTACAGCGGAGCTTCTGAAAGCGGGTGGAAAACCGGTACATGAAGTCCTTCAGAAGCTCTTTAATTCCGTCCTCCATGGTGGCATTACACCGGAGGCGTGGAGCAGAAGTGCGGTGGTCTTGTTCTTCAAGAAAGGCGACAACGCTCTTTTGAAGAACTACAGACCGATTTCCCTTCTGAGCCGCGTCTACGTGCTGTTTTCGAGAGTCATTACGAATCGTCTCGCGCGCAGACTTGACGACTTCCAGCCTCCCGAACAAGCCGGTTTCCGAAAAGGCTTTAGCACCATAGACCACATACATACCCTTAGGCAAATTGTACAGAAGTCCGAAGAGTACAATTTGCCACTATGTCTGGCGTATGTGGACTATGAGAAAGCCTTTGATTCCGTCGAAATTTGGGCGGTGCTGCAGTCCCTTCAGCGATGCCAAGTTGACTGTCGGTATATCGAAGTGTTGATGTGCTTGTACAGTAGGGCTACGATGGCTATCCGAGTACAGAACCAGAGTACGAAACCTATCCAATTGCAGAGAGGTGTAAGACAGGGTGACGTCATATCCCCGAAACTCTTCACCGCTGCATTGGAAGATGTTTTCAAGCTTCTGGACTGGAAAGGATACGGTATCAACATCAATGGCGAGTACATCACTCACCTTCGATTTGCCGACGATATAGTCCTTATGGCAGAATCGCTGGAGGACCTAAGCACTATGCTCAATGACCTCAATAGTGTTTCCCAACGGATAGGTCTTAAGATGAACATGGACAAAACAAAGATCATGTTTAATGTCCATGTCACACCTATGCCGGTAGTTGTTGGGAACACTAAGCTCGAAGTTGTTGACGAGTATGTTTACCTGGGACAAATAGTCCGATTAGGTAAGTCCAACTTCGACCGAGAGGTCAATCGACGGATTCAACTCGGTTGGGCAGCGTTCGGGAAATTACGGCACATCTTCTCGTCAGGTATACCTCAAAACTTGAAAACGAGACTGTACACCCAGTGCGTGTTGCCAGTGATGACATACGGAACTGAGACGTGGTCCTTCACTGCTGGCCGGATGAGGAAGCTCAAGGTCGCTCAGCGAGCTATGGAGAGGGCTATGCTCGGAGTTTCTCTGCGTGATAAACTCAGAAATGAGGATATCCGCAGTAGAACCAGAGTGACCGACATAGCCCAACGGATTAGTAAGCTGAAGTGGCAATGGGCCGGCCATATAGCTCGAAGAACCGACAACCGATGGGGAAGAAAGGTTCTCGAGTGGCAGCCTCGTACCGGCAGGCGAAGTGTAGGGCGTCCCCCCACTAGATGGAGTGACGACCTGGTAAGATTTGCAGGAAGTCGATGGATGCAGGTGGCTCAGGACCGTGCTTTGTGGCATTCTTTGGGGGAGGCCTATGTTCAGCAGTGGACTTGTGAAGGGCTGTAATGATGATGATGCCCCTAAAGAAGAACTGTGTGTCGACGAAAGTATGATTCCTTTTAGAGGTCGAGTCACTTTTCGACAATATAACAAATCTAAAAGGCACAAATACGGTATAAAATTGTTTAAAGTTTGTACACATCCTGGTTATACTTTAAAAATACAGGTATACAGTGGAAAAAATATTGATATTGAGAATAATACCCCTACAAAAATAGTATTATCCCTGTGCGATGAACTCTTGAATAAAGGCCACACCATTGCCACTGATAACTGGTACACCAGCTTGGAACTGGCGTACGAATTACTAAAAAACGATACACATTTCCTGGGGACAGTGAGAAAGAACAGAAAGTACTTGCCTAGGAAAGTAGTAGAAACTAATTTAAAACGAGGTGAATTCGTAGCACAAGAAAACGATTGTGGCATCACAGTATTAAAATGGAAAGATAAAAGAGATGTTTTAATGCTGTCTACAAAGCACACGGACAAATTTACTCGATTAAATGTCAGAGGCAAGGCGGTGCAAAAACCAGCAATGGTTATTGATTACAACAAATGTAAAGCTTCAGTCGACATGAGTGATCAGATGACAGCTTATTCAACTCCACTGAGAAAAACTGTCAAATGGTATAGAAAATTGGCCATAGAATTGCTCTTGAATACAGCTGTGGTAAATGCGTTGATAATGTATAAGGAAACCACTAAGAAAAATATTTCAGTAGTAGATTATAGAAAAAATCTCGTTCAATATCTCACTAAATCAGGACGTCCAGAAACAGGTAACTTGGCACTTGAATTACGTCCACAACGACGAAAACATGAACTTGTCAAAAAAGAGTGACCTGTACGCAAAATGAGACGATTTTGTGTCGGCTGTTACAAGAACAATGTAGAAAAGATGTCGAGAAAAGACGCAAAAAATAAGACCCTGAAAGTGCCTACCTATTGTTTGCAGTGTGATGGTCAGCCACATTATTGCCTGCCATGTTTTAATAGAGAGCATCGAACGTAATTTGGACAATAATTTTTGTTTGTAATATTTTCAATATAATAACTTTTAAGGCGAGGTGTATAGACAACTTTTATGTATTTGAGAGGGTGAAGCAGATGAAGTAGGGGACGAGTAGTCCCGCCCACTGCGGGGTGCACACCGCGTGAATCTCGCCGACTCTCGACGTAAACTAAAATGTACAATCGGTCCAGCATTCCGCTGTCCGCCTTTGCACCGCGTTTCCGTGAACGTCCGGTGGTTCGAATCCCATGAGACGTATATTTTGTATTCGTATTTTTAAAATGTTTCTACATTTATTTTCATATTTAAAATATGTATATATTTTTATTTTCTTATTTTTAAAATATGTATATATTTTACTTTCTTAATTTTAAAATAATCAATAATTGTTATTTTCTAGAAAAAGTTATCGAGAAATTTTGTAACGGATTCATCAAATGAATAATAAATTAATTCTTAAATAAAATGACTTTGTACCAGAATGGCCAATCATAGAAATGGCCTATTCTCGAAAGAGCAAATTGTAAAAATTGTGAATTTATAAAAACAATCATTTTTATTCCTTTAGACATATTTTGCTTCAGAATCAATAGTAAACCATTATGAACAAATTTTACTATAGTGCTAGCCCTAAAATAAAAAAAACAGCTGTTTCATAATTTTTTTCCCGAGTTAATAACTTTTTTGCATAAAACGACACATTTTGGGGATTTGTGTTATTTTTAAGTTATTTGGGTTATTTGAAGAATACATAAAAATTAAACAAACAAATTATTTTAATATAATTTAATTACGAGTATTTTCATGTATTTACACATACGGAGCGAAATATAAATATATAAATTGTGGGGAAGAAAAATAATTCAAATCACAACTCTTCAAAATTCAGTCTTCTACTACAACAAGCGACGTTTCCTTTGTTGTCGTCATTTGATGTGACTACTAATGACGATTCTTTTTCTCGCAGTGGCATTCCACGCGCTCGCCGAGAATCGACTATTTCAGGCAAAAGCCAGGTCATGAAAAATGACACCAGCTTTTCCTTCATCTTTTTTTCCCAAAAATCGTCATCTCTTTTAATAATTTCTATTTTTAGTGGCTTTTTATCACCGCTCCACACAGCAAACAAGCATTTTTCTCTACGTGTTATGTGGAGCTGCCCTTGAATTTGATAGTACCAATTACTATTTTTGTTCACTTCAATCAGTTCACATTTTTTATTATATTTCCATATCTGTATTTTGTTTTCCTTTATACTTTCTTCTAGACCATTTTTGAACGCCACTAAAGGACATTTCACTTCAACTACTGTGTCTTCGCCTATCAAACCATCGGGCGTTGCTCCAAGAAAGGCAAATTCGTGGTCCACAAACAACCCGCTCGGCTCAATGGTGACATTTTCTTGGATGGCAAGTTGTTGTAAAGCGAGATGTTCATTTTCGACGCCATGTGCGATTGCCGCTATATTACCGAGATTAAATTTATATAAAATATTTTCCACTAACTTGGATTTGCTAGTAGTCTCTCTTCTTTTCACTACTAATCCAAAATTCGATGCTGTTAGCATATTTTTTCGTAGTTCTACCCAGTCATCGCTATCTCTCTGATTTATAGTAGATATTTGTATTTTTTCTTTGTCTGAAGTTAGTTGTTTTAGATTTTGAAGGAACGATTCTTTAGCGGCATTTAATTCATCCAGTGTGAAATCTGGAGTAGTACTCTGAGCCCCATAATCATGTTGAACAGCATTTTCTTTCTTTAGCATCCGATTTTTTTTATGAGGATTTGCTTTGTATAATTTTCTTTTCATCACTCTTCGTTCTTCAAACTTTTTTAGGATGCTTTTGGGACTTTCCCTAAAATTTTTTTATGAAGTAGATGTCTTGGATGGGAGTTATTAAAAGAAACGACTGCAGCATTGCAACGCGCGCGGTAACCCCGACGAAGAGAGAAATTAATTCTCTTTCCTCCCACAAACTTTGCAATCACACTGTTGAAGCGCGCTACTGCATTGGTATCCACGTCTTCAAGCATGCTTCTTGATTTTAAAAGTAATGACTGGAGTATTGTCTGTATCCTGAACCAAAAAATTGTGTTTTTTATTTCCATATTACTCTGTTGTGTCTTTTCCTTACAACAGTAATAGTTCTTGCAATTTTCATGATTCCCGAAAGCATGTAGAATAGAATTTTGTATTTCGTTCCTAAAACTTGCTACTGCTTCCGTATTGTCTTTTTCTGGCTTATACTCTTTTATTGATGCAATAACAACCTTTCGGATACTCAGAATTTTTGATTCAGTGAGCATCTTTCTGTGCACCAAGGCATATTTTGTGTCTTTGGCTACAGCCCTCAACTTATTGCACATGTTACGCAGCACATGGTTTCGGCATTCAACTTTTTGAACGGTATGATTCTGGTAAGGATTACGCGCCAAGATTTTCGCATATGTAGCTGAGTCGCCGTCAGCAATTATCCTGCCATAAATAACATTGTACATCGATACAGATGTTTCAAATCCTTGGCAAATTATTTCGGACTCCATTCCGCTAGATGCCCCCGTGTAGTTTTTGAAGCAAACGTGTTCTGGTGCAGCAATGTGTTTTTTCTCTGCACGAGCACATACAAGGCAGTATTTGTTTCTAATGCCTAGAAACAACACTTCACCATATCTGCGACCTACGATTGCTGCAGCGCCGGACAATGCCTTATAATTATTTCCGTAGGATCGCGATGACCAACAGCCGTCGGCATATACGTCTATTAGAGGTATGCCATCTTTGCTCAATGTTCCTTGAGCTAGCGCTGCATCACGCTCACGCATAGCTGCTGCCGCCATGGATTCGACAGATGTTGACTCCCATTTTTCGTAAACTTTGTTATGAACTTGAGCATAAGTTTTTTTCGTAAATATGGGTATGTCCATACATGCTGTAATTTCTTCAAATTGCGAAAAACCGATACCAGCAAAAGTAATTCCTGTAACGGCACCCACGTTAGTGTTGACATTATGTATACTCGATAAATCTTCGCTTGTGACAATAAAGACGTCTTTACACATATTGCATCTAAACTTGAATGTGGAGATCAAGCCAATCCTTTTTTCTCCTATGAGTGATAGTTGTGAGAAACCGCAATTGAACAAAGAACTGTGGCCGGATATAGTTTGAAGCTGCTTGATAAAATACATAATGTCAACGACTCTTCGACCATGAACTGGTGGGTATATATTATTTTCTTGAGCTTCGGTCAACGGTTCATCGAATAGCACATCGCCAGTGATTTCTCTGAAATAAAAAAACGTGTTATTTTTTATTTTATTATAAAGAAAAAAACAAATCATGACTTGTGGGTATATATTATATAATTGAGATTCCGTTGACGAATAAAAAAACGACATTTTGTTTTATTTTATTACAAATAGAGCCGTGGTAGCTCAGATGGTTAGCGCTCACTGTAAGTTCCACAGTACGTAAGCAACCCGGGTTCAATCCCCGTTGGCACCAATGAAATTGTTAATTGCAATTATAAGAGCTGATTTACCACGTGCTCGTCGGTGAAAGAAAACATCATGAGGAAACCTGCATATCTGAGAAATAAGAAAAAAATATTTCGAGGACATGTGAAGTTCGTAAATGAATTAGGGCAGCGCGGTGGATATTTCCTTGCCCAAAAACCCTCAGAAATGAAAGGAGGCCTGTGCCCAGCGGTGGGACGTATATATCATCAATATCATTATCATTTATATATGCTGTAACTACTTTTAGTCATGGCAGGTACGCGGTGTGTACAAATACAATACGTGGACAAAAAGTGGGTGTAGACAATTATCTACACCTTAGCTGAAAACCTACGGTTCGGTAGGGTTAGTCTCCCTGTGTTATAATATCTATTATTGATTCACAACAATTGGGCTGAAAGTCGTGAAGTTTGTCACGCCATCTCTTTGGAAGTCGACCACGACTCTCTGTCGACTCCCACTGTGTGACAAGCTTCACCCATCTATTGATACTTACTCATCATAATTTGATTTTGAATTGGCTCCTGGAGTCACAAGGGATGCAATTGAAAGTGATGTCTCTGGGTTTTCGTGCTCAGAATCTTTTTGTAATCTAAAATTTAAACAAATAAGTTTTTAAACTGAAATACATGGCTATATTTACATCATGTGTTTTTTTTTGAAAATGAGGAATTACAACAATGTTCATTTTGAGTAATTTGTATAAACATCATGTATGTATAAACTTACTCATGAAAAGTTTTCTCCGATGGTTCATCTACTGACGGATTGCTCGACAACCGTTTCTTTTTACTATAAAGAAGAAACAATAAAATAGCATTATGATTATTTCAAAAATACGAAAAAATTAAATAAAAGTTATGAGGTAACACACATAAAATAACATACAGTCGAATTGAGTACCGTTTCCTTTTTGAAGTCGGTAGAAAACTAATTCAATGCACGAGACCGCTAGACCAAAAAGTAAAGTAAAGTTGCACCCTATTTACGTCCCACTGCTGGGCACAGGCCTCCTCTCATTTGTGAGAGGGTTTTAGGGCAAGGAAATGTCCGCCGCGCTGCCCCAATGCGTGTTGGCGAGCTTCACATGTTTTCGAAATATTTTTTTCTTATTTCTCAGACATGCAGGTTTCCTCACGATGTTTTCCTTCACCGCCGAGCACGTGGTAAATCAACACTTAAAATTACAATTAACAATTTTATTGGTGCCGGCGGGGATCGAACCCGGGTTGCTAGAGTATTGTGAAGCTAACAGCGAGCGCTAACCATCTGAGCTACCACGGCTCTAGACCAAACGAGCTACGGATATGTTTGTCAAAATTACGCATGTATAGATAATCTATATAAACAAAATAAAGTGTGCACAAAAAGTGGGTGTACTTACTTTACAACTTCCATCATGTGTTTTTGTTTCATCGAATATGATCTCTTTATTGCCCTGCGTATATTTTTATTGTTGCCCATTGTACCAACACTGATTGTTTATTTTTACAACTTACGACTAAAGCCGAGATCGAACAAAGTTCACAACAGCTTACAGCACAACTTAGAAAAAACGAATTGTTTATTTACACAACTTATCACTAGAACTAAAATCGAACAAAAAATTACACCAAGAACATAACTTAGAAAAAAATATACACAATTTAAAATATACACAGCTTCTAATAACAAACATATACGTAAATGATATTTGAAAGGAGAGCGAAACAAATTGGTACAGGTCCGTCTAGCAGCGTGCCTCAACGATCACTGTCGCTCTGCGTAGAAATGAAAGAGAAGCGAAAAGACGCCACGATGGCCCGATGCGATACATCGATTCGTTCGGGTTATTTATCATTAAATATATGAATACTTACAAATATTTCATTTCAATCGATATATAAAAACAACAGTTCCCCTTATTATTATATATTACATCACTATTATTAATTTTATTAAGATTTGCTTATAAATAATACAGTTAAAATTGCTGGAAATTCAATTTCAATGGCTATTTTATGATTTTTTTCTATCGAGAAAATTTACCGAAAAAGTGTTTTGGAAACAATGGTCCACCCATAAATATGATCAAGATTAACATATATTTTTTTTTCCGCTCTAAAATGTATATATTTTGTTAAAAAACTGTTTTGTAAAGCCTAGTTTGACTATGCACCGCGCCTTAAATTACTATCTAAATTGTTTTGTGAGCCTTTCTATGACCACGTGTAAAATATTGATATTTCTTTGTGATTGATATATTATTATGTTATTAAAACATTAATACTGTAAAAGATTTTTGTATCTTTTGAATCTTAAAACTACGATATTTAAAACCAAATTTTATATGAAACATTTTTTTTGCGTATTTTTCCCTACTTCTCATAATTTAGTACCTATTTTCTAAATTTTACTAGGCAGGTGTGTCCCACTGCAAAGGATTGCTCTCAAGCGCCGCGCCGGTCACTCACATAGGCGAAATAAACGACACGCGTGACCGGTGGCGCAAAAAAGCACTTTAAATTTAGATCTCGCATGTGGTCACCGGTGTCCCCCATGGCGCAATAAAGCAACATACATGAGGTCACCGGTGCCCCCCATGGCGTTTAACGTGTTAATAAGCATTTAGTCAGACAAAACAGTATTTCTTTGTTATTCATATATTTCTCTTTTGTTCCACTTTTGTGTGTCCGTTTGCCTGGTGGTAAAAGCCTTCTCCTATCTTCTCCATTCTTGCTTTCTATGGGCTATATTATGTAGTTATCCCACGTTCTCTGTGGTCTGTCTTTCCTTTTTTTCCATCCCTTGGGTACCATTGTGTTATTATTTTACTCCATTTGTCTTTTCTTCTGATTATGTGGCCTGTCCATTTCCAGTTTTGTCTTCTTATTGTCAGAGTTATATCATGGACCTTAGTTTTTTTTTCTCATGCTGATATTTCTTATTTTCGTTTTGTCAATTGTTTTGATCCCTACCATACTCCTTTCCATGAAAAGTTGGCATATGTAGAGTTTGTTTGATATGATTCTTGTTAAAGTCAATGTTTCGCTCCCATATGCCAATACAGGCAGGGTGCATGTGTTAAATAGTTTGATTTTCGTTGAAATGTCTAGGTTCTTGTCTTTCAATAATTATTTTAGGCACCAGTATTTTTTTCCAGCTATTCGCATTTCTCCTTTCGACTTCTTTGTTTATATTATCTTCTGGAGACATCATTTGACAGAGATATATGTATACATTAGCTTTAGAGATTTGAGTCTTTTCCACTGTTAGAGGATCTTTATTGCCATTGGTTATGAGTTTTGTTTTCTCCGGGCTTAACGGGACTTAACTTATCCGGCCTTTGCCGTTTATATTGCTAGGTTATTAATCACCTTGTTTAGATTATCTGGTGTTTTTGCAAATAATACAATATTATTCGCGAATCGTAAGTGCTTTAGCGTGCGATCATTAATGGATATGGCTATGTCTCTCCACTCAAGGTTCCTGAAGATGATTTCTAGTACAGCCAAAATGAGTGTTGGTGACAGTGGTGACAGTGTGGGCAGAGAGTGGGGGTCCCCCTGTCTAACACCTTCTAGTATTCGAAACATTTTTGCCTTCTTTTCTAGTTGAATTCATGCCGTTATATGTCTATAAATGTTTTTTATAATCCTTACATATTTGTGTTCTATGTCCTGTTCCGTTAAGGCTCGCAGATTTTTGAGTTTATCAGAGGATGGAACGATTTACTATAATCAATAAAGTCTTTGAAATATGTAAGCTTATCTATAATTTTGCTTAGAGTGTGGATGTGGTCTATTACCGAGAATTCCTTGCGGAATCCTAACTGTTCTATTGGTTGTTGTTTATCTGATTTCCTTTCTATTATTTTCAAAATAATCCTTGCAAAGGTCTTATAAATATTAGACATTAGAATAATGGCCGATCCATAGTTTCCAATATCACAATGATTTCCTTTCTTGAACAGAAGTATTATGTCAGGTTCAGTCCATTGTTTTGGGATAATTTCTGTGTTAATAATTTTGTTGAAAATTTCTGTGAGTATAGGCATCATTGCTGCTTTTATTTGTTTTAGTATTTTATTGCTTATGCTTTCTGGTCCTAGAGCTTTATCATTTTTCTGAGTATCAATAGCTTTTGTCGTTTCTTCCTGCATGATGTAAGGTACAGTTTTGCTTTCTGGTAAGTCTATTTCTCTTTTGTTTGTGTAGTTTTTATATAGTCCATTATAGTAATCTGAAGCGATCTTAAGTATTTTCTGTCTTCTAATCTTCTTGGTCCCATTGCTGTTTTTCATCTTCACAATCCATTCATTTTTATTAAATAGTTCTTTGTACGTCTTCTTTATTATTCCTATCTGTCTAATATATGTATCTCTATTGTTTCCATGCGCCGTTGTCTACTGTTTTTTCTTATGGTTTCTTTTATTTCTCTTCTAATTATTACAATTTTCTTTCTGTTGTTGTCTGTAGTTTTCGCACTTGTAAGAGCTGCTCTTTGGTCGAGCAGTTCGGTAGTTTTTTTCGTCATCCAATTGTTTGTATTTTCTTTTATGGTGCTAATCTCTTTACTAGTATTTGTGATTGTACGTTCTAACCAATTGTATTTTTCATATATGTTGGCATGTTTTGGTTTTATATTGTATTTCTTGAGTTATGAGTTTAATGAATTGGCTATATCCTTTATTAGATATTTTTCAGGTTTTATGTTGTCTGGGTTAATGTTTGGTCTGGGGTTCTTGGGGTAATGGTGTGTTAAAATTTACATTGGTGATGACATTCATGTTTGAGAAGAAATTATATTTATTGGTATTAATAAAATCAATTTGATTTTTGACTTACCATCGATTGATAACCATGTCCATGTCCACGTTCTGGTTTTTATTTTTCCTTATTTAGTATAGTTTGGTTATTTTCTATTGCAAAGTACAAGAGCATTTTGCAGTTCCTCCTTCTAGGTTTTGTACTGTATATTTCGGGCTCTATAATTGCATCTTCATCCCATTGATGTTCTCCGGTTTGACCATTAAAGTCACCCATCACGATGATATTTTCGTGAGCATGAGTATAAAGCTTTGTTCAAATTCTGGTAAAACTGGCTAACTGTTTCGGTCTCTGCTTGTTCTATGGGTGAGTAAATCTGGATAATGGTCCATAGGTCCTTGTAATCTGGTAGTTTTAAATTTAACAATGCTATGTGCTCTGATACACGATTAAAAACCATTTATGTGCTATTCTTAATATTTTTGACTAAAAAACCAACACGATATTTTCCTAGGGTTTCCCCTATAGTATATGATAGCATATGAAGTTAGGATGGGCGATAATTTTCTCTCCCGTTCTTCGTACATATCTCAGGCAGAGGATAGTGATGTGTAATGCCAGTGATAATTTTAATAAGTTCTATCCTAATCTTAGATTTAGTACGTCTAGAGAAGCAATGTATAGGCTTGTATGGTAATTTGATAGAGTCTCAACGGTAGTCTTTTGCTTGGGTAGAGTAGGTTCGATGATGTTTTCATCTTCAATTTTTTGTTGATTCATAATTATTATTTAAGAGTATTGGTCCAATTCCCCACGGGCACCAGCCGGGTTGGAGAATGTGTGTTTGTTTGCTGTTGTTGTGGTTTTTTTTGACTGTGTGGTATTCCGTTTCAGGTTAGTAGTTGATATAAGTATTTTTTCGGACATGGAGTACGTTTGCTCGCACATAAGTTGATTTTCTTGCTATTGTTGTCAGTTGTTTCTTTTGGGCTCGGTGTATCTGAGGTTTTTTTTCTTTTTATTATTTTCACGAAAGTTACTGGCTCTTGCTTTACGTTTTTCCTTGGTGTCCTTAGAATAGTCATTGGTAATGTATGTGTTTTCTTTCATTTTATTTTTGTTTCTAAGAATTTGGACTTTTCTCTGCAGAGTTGTTACTGTAAGCAGAATGGGTCTCATTTTTCTAGTGGTACATCCAAATCCGTTATTGTTTTATTACTAAAGCGTATAATCTTCGTAGTTTTTGGTCCTAGGTTTTGGTATCCCATGTAGACTTATATTGTTATTTATAGCATTTATCTCCAAAGTCTGGAGCTTCTTCTTCAGTTTTTCCAATTCACTTGCAAATCTTTCGTTTTCCGTTACTATTTGTATGGAAAGTAGTGGACGATAACATAAACTTCTCGTCCACTACTTTCAATTATGTTTTTTTGGTGTTTTTTGTTATTTTTTTTGTTTGTTTATTTAATTCCTCTTTCATCTCGTTAAGGAGCAATGACATTTCACCTGAAAGTTGAGTATTCATAATGTCAAATGAACGTGCTGTTCACCAATGTAAACAATAACACACTTAAAATGGGACGCGCCTCAACTTGCAATTTAATTGCCTGAACACGCAATATACCTCGAAATCTAGCCATCACTGTACATCGAAGTGTTAATCCGTAATTACTGATACACTTAAGTAATTTTTGACAAATGGTTTTAACCTCAAAATTTGTTTCGGATAAAATTCTCACGGAAAAGTGTTAATTTTTAGCGACATTTTCTTGTACATGTTCTTGGAATACAATTGTTATGATTTAGCACTGACGCATTGTCTTATAATACATTTATTGGTTAAAATCCGGGAGCGATTGACAGCACGTCCTTGCAGTTTTAGAACCAAAAACAGACCTTATTACTAAAGGAAGAATCATTTAAATCGGCCCATAAACAAAGAAGTTGTTTCCGAACTTTCAAAAATATATGCACAGAAAAATTTGTAATCCTGCTCTTTCTTGAAGTCAGAAAATAGTAGTATAATCCTTAGTTTGACTGCTGAGGTTCCAAAAACCAATTTCTCATCGAAATAATTTGCTTCATTTAATTTTCAACTTAACAAACACAATATTGTATGAAATATATCATTAATTTAACCATTTTCATTATTGTATCTAAAATGAGAAAGTGCTGTGTCTACTATAGTTATGCTTACCAAAGGTTTTGTTCCCTTTATATATCATTAAAGTAACTGTGATTAATGTCAAGTGGCCTCGATAATGATAATACAAGTTGTTTAGGCCCAAAAATGGTTATTTTGAAACGGCATTCAATAGCTTTGACTTAGCGAATCACGTGAGGTGACACGCGCATCGCGGGGAGGGGGCAGCGGTATGCGGCCTCCCGGCGTTTGGCGCTCGTGGGCGAAGACCAGTAGCTTGAGTGCAGCGACGCCGTCGCAACGTACCGTATTTATGGTGACCGTGGCAGCGATTTTGTGCGACCAGTTTTGGTTTTATGGTCTAGATTTTCAGTATTTATGCGCGTTACTTCGCTACTTAAATTTTGTTTCGTGAAGACCGCCTCGGATTAGGTTGTCTAAGTATTGCAGTGAGTCTTCTCAGGCCGCGTGATCACTGCCTTAGAAGGTCGCGTTCGATTCTCGAAATAATTTGTTGCTGAGTCAACGGAAGTGAACTTTGACCCACCGTTCATCAGTCGTGCCGCGTGTTACGTTTTTGATTATAATTAACAGGATTTAGTTGAGTTTTGAAGTTATTTAAATGTACAATAAAGTTGCTAGACTGACATAGTGAATTGAAGAGAGAATCATTGTGAGGAACTACCGGTTGTAAAGGACGCGTGTGGAATTATAACGTCGATTTAAGCGCCTCTCTTTTTTGCGTTGTTTTTTTTTTGTTTGTTTTACGTGTCAACGATGCTGAATTTTGAGTTTGAGCGATTAGTTAACGTCGTAAAATTAATTAGCATCAAGGGGTATAGTGGTTGCTTGCATAAGTGCATTCTGACAATATTAATTCGCGTCGACGAGTTGCTTTGTGCCATTTGATTTAACTCGGAGATATTTTCCTATGTCGGTTAAAACCGCTAAACTTTATGACCCGCGAGAACCAGCGTTCGTATTAGATTATAGATTTGTGCTAAGGAACACTAGACTTTAAGTGACACCGAGTGACGCCGCTGGAGTGATACCACATAGGGTGGCGGTGCTGGAGTCAGGGTTGCGACTGATTAAAAAGGGCTAATTCAGGTTAAACAAATATACACTTCTCACACACCACTTACATTCACTACACCTAATGCCTGAACGAGCCTGGTGGTCCGTCTTCGCTTCTGAACCAGGTAAGTCGCATTAAGTACCTAATCCATATACAGAATGGGGTCCCACATATATGCAATAAATGAAACCACATACTTGTAATCGCCTTTGCTGACGATATACAAAAAATGGACATAATCGGCCCAGTAATTAGGTCAAAAAGTAGAGTTTTAATTTTAAGCAAATTTGAACCCTCTATAGAATTTGGTCACTAAGTCAATGATTCAATGAACTTGAATCCTTGAACATTAAAAAGCGACGTTGCCACGCAGTGCAAACTATTGGTATTGCGACGTATCGACAGCGGTGTCTTTTGTCGGCGTGCATAAACAAGCGGCACGAGGCACGCGGCGTACTTCAAAGGCGACGGCGTAACTGTGCGCGCGCCTTTGTCGTAGAGTACGGCACCTGTTATCGACGATTAGCTTCTTTCAAAGGGAGTAAGTAATAATCGATAAACAAAAAAAATGTTTAGCTTTAAACACTTAGGGTATGGCTTTTTTAGAATTATCGTGTTGTTATGATAATCCTAAAACTACTACCTAAGTATTTAAAGCTAAACTTTAAAGCTTTTTTGTTTAAGTGTGTTAACCCATAAAAACAACCAATTAAAAAGTCATACATACTTACCCGTTTCCCAGGATGTCACAAATCTGTAGTTTCGTAAGTTCAATTGTACAAAAATAAACTTTTTTTTTTACAATCAATAACTTATCGATTGTTATCAAATCAAAAATCAAAATTACTTGTATTCAAATATAGTAGGTAAGTAAGCGTAAAAATAAAAGTATCGATAAACGATTATTGCACTTTGTAGCCGCCCTATTTATTACTTTTATTATTTTCACCATTTTGGAATTTGGAAGTTTAGCTTCCAGTTCACGCGCAATTGTTCCAGGATATAGGTGCGTTTCGCTGCCTACGCGCGTCGTAATTATTTATCGTAAGATAAATACAATTAGTCAAACAATTATTTTACGGTGAAATAGACACTTATTAGTTAATTGACTTTGTGTGTGTAAATAGTGTTTTAAGTAAGTTTATTTTTTCACCCTTTTTTGCCGCCTTTAACAAATTAAAAGCCCTGGCTCTGGATCCTGAACGAAATATTTTGAGCAAGCTTCAGGACAACATTATGCGGCGATGTAACTTGTGCATTCAAGAACGATTTTAAAATTTTTTAAATTTAGGGTTTCATTAAATTTTGCTACTAATATGCAATAATATTTATTTCGTTAGTAGTGTAAATGTACCACTTCTGGACCACCTGAGTCAGAAGCGGTTCAACGACGTTCGTCGACACATGATCCTAAAAAAAAAAAAAAAAGGTTTTGGCATGCTCTGATCACGAATCTGCGGTCCATTTTTGTGTAGGATGCACGGTTCCGGAGATGTGCAGATCAATTAGCTAATATCTAATTGATATCCGGTAAGGGCCTCCACCGTCATTAGCGTCCCATTGTTCCTATTTCTATTGTTCTATTGTTCATTAATCACCTTCATTGCAGCGTGTGCGTCGACTATATCAGTGCTATTGTATTATACTTCTTTGTTCCTAATTATACAACGCTAATCTGAATCATCAATAAAACACATTACATAATTTTGTTACAATTTTTATTTATAAAATACAAAATCTTATTACTTATTATCTATAAAATAGGGGCGAAACATCTCATCCACTAAAATATCGTTGTACAATGTGTTCCTTGTAAATATACTCATAAAACTATGTATTGAACATCCCTGAAACTTATATAGCAAATACATTAAGCAATATTCGCCACAAACTGAAGTCCACTCATTCTGAATCCTATCAACATTCCAGTTCCATCTTTTACAATTCCTTTTTAAAAACTCTAGATGATATCGTACAGGTGATCGTCCATATGAATCAAAATATTGACCGACGTCATTCGTATCGATATATAAAGCTACCCAATGTGACCCTGGTTTATCATCTGTATCCAAATTGCATATTATATACGTTGGTACGTGGGTATACATAGGCAGTCTATTAGCTGCATAAACATTATTTTCTAGACTGGGGTGAATCTTTTTCAGATGTTGTTGTACATCTAGTGTATCCATGATATTACTGCTATTAGTAGATTATTACAGTACCAATCTACTCAATGAATAACATAGGAATGGTCAATTATAGTGATTTCTAAATATTAAATTGCATTTTTGTGTTATACAAATCGTACTTGAGTCATTGATCACCAAACAAAACACAATACGAAGAAATGTTGAGATAGGCAACGGAAATGTGAGATAAACTGGTTGACGCATAAAGTAATTATCAACTCATTACGGAAATACTTTAGATTAGAATTTTTACGTACTGGTGGTATATAAGACCAACAGACGCAGTCATCGAGTTAGTGTATCGTCGTTTGACTGCAGTGGATCTATCAATAGTATATTTGTGTTACTTCAATGCACCAAAGGCTATGGATGTAAGTGTTTATTCTATTGACTAAATTACTTTTTTTCTGTTATTTTCATGCGTGTGTATTATTTTATTTAAATATTGTGTATGTATATGATTAAGCCGTGGTAACTCAGATGGTTAGCGCTAGCTGTAAATTTCACAGTACGCGACCCGGGTTCGATCCCCGCCAGCACCAATTAAATTGTTAATCGCAATTTTAAGTGCTTATTACCACGTGTTTGGTAGTGAAGGAAAACATCGTGAGGAAACCTGCATGTCTGAGAAAATTTCGAAGGCATGTGAAGTTCGCCAACACACATTGAGGCAGCGCGGCGGACATTTCCTTGCCCTAAAACCCTCTCAGAAATGAGAGGAGGCCTATGTTCAGCAGTGGACTTTAATAGGCTGTAACTTTAACTTTTTTAACTTTTATGATTAAGTGTTAACAAATTGATATTAACATGATAACTGTGTTGTTGCAGAAATCATTGAGCTTCGACGAAAATACCTATAAACAGTATTACTACTCGCCACTCTCCCCTCAAGAAGAGAGTGATGACCTCGTCATTAATAATAACACATGCGATGGTGGAAAAAGAAAATCGCAATCGATTGATCATTTTTTTGAAGCTGAATCAAAAATAAAAAAGAGGAAGCTGTTATCATCAACCGTAGCACGAGCCGCTAGAGATGGTGTATCATACATTTCTACTAATTCTGACGACGGAGACCAAGCGACGCATCTCATCAAAATTGAAATGTACGATATGAAGAAGCTATCCAAGATTCCAACTACTGATCATTGGAAACATGCTTCCACGAGAATTAAATATTACGTAAAGACTAATAAGGATAGCATCTACGACAACACAAACGCCCTCGTATACAATATAACAAAGACAATAGCAGAAAGTGAAAAAGTTAAAAAATACTTTTTTAACAATGACAGTCATTAGCTGATCATTAGTGAATGTGATTCTGTTTACTTCAATTACTTCTGAGTACTCATTACATTCTATGTCATTAGCTGATCATTAGTGAATGTGATTCTGTTTACTTCAATTACAGGAAGACAAGAGCGGAAGGAAGAGATGAGTGTGGCATACGTGTACAAAACACATCATTGAATAACAAAACTACAACACTGAGTGGAGAAGAAAACGAGAAGAGTATGCAGTACTCAAGAGCTGAATATCCATTCTTCAGTTCAAAATCTAACCGTTTGCTTAGTTTCGAAAACTGGCCTCTCGTTATGCGACAGAAACCTGAAGATCTTGCAGAAGCTGGTTTCTTTTATACTGATCATGCAGACGGGACCAAGTGTTTCCATTGTGGTGGTGGTTTAAATGATTGGGAAGATGATGATGATCCTTGGCAGCAGCATGTTCAGTGGTTTAGTCAGTGTGCTTATGTAAAATTTCAACTCGAACAGTGTTTTGTATTAGATTAAATAGAAGATTTATAAAGAAATAAAAAAAATATATTGCATACAATTTGTTTTATTTAATTTTATAACGTTTCACATAGTTACATACACACAAAATGCATTACACATAACACATAAAATCTAACACACAACACATATTATAACCTTAACTACTATAGTCTACAGTAACATTTCTGTTTTTATCTATCTCAATAATATTATCAAACTCAGCATAAACTATACAGTAAATTGTTTGTATTAATGAGGATTCAAATCGTACTTCTATTCTTACACTACCATGCTTTATGAGATTCCAATGAGTTGATGAGTTAGCTGATAAATCAGGAGTTAAGTCAAATGCTAATAGACAGTAACCTTTGCCATACTGTTCACAAGAGATTCCATTTCCTTCATTAAGAAAGTGAATACCAGTTCCCGAGAATAGAGTATGATATGCTGATGTAAATATGCTATTATTAAAAGATGGTTGCAAAGCTTTTGAAGGTATTTGTTGACCATCAATATATAAGCTGAAAGAATTAATACCATAGTTTTCAAAGTTAAATGGATTTTTAGTAAGGGAACCATTAAATGCAGAATTGTTCACAAATCCAATTATACATCTTTTCGGTACCTGTCCTAAAAATATATTATCAAGAGTTTTTCCTTGAACACCCGAAGGAATTGTTAAAACTTTTACTTCAGCTCGAGTAATAGGATATTTAGCAGTGGTAGAAGCTAAAACTTTTTGATGTGCGAGTAATACACTTGGATTAATTCGTGCTCGTCGAACAATAAGAGTTGCGTCCGTAATGCAAACTTTAAACTTTACATCGTTTGACCCAACAATTAAATTAAAACTCTCTCTTGATCGAACCAATTTAACACTCATTTCAACACCATTAATTAAAAATTTATCTTGGTTAAAAATGTCACCGTGAAGATGACCAATCATTTCTATTTCCTTACTTTCACTAATCAATTCCTGTCTTTTAACAAATCCTATGTTTTTACCATCTGTAGAATCCATTTTTCCTGCTGTATCCTCATACCAAAGACTACAAGTAAGATGAGATTGTTTAGCAGCAGGGGCATAGTTTAAAAGGGTTTCCATGTATGCTCGATATGCATAGGTATTATTAGGTGGTGATACAAGTTTTTGGTTTAAATAAACATCAAGTTGACTAAAAAGTGAATGCAGCCAATTATTTACAGGTGCTACTATTGTAGTAGATACCAAGTTAGTTGAATCTTGATTTAATACTTTTGCCTTTATGTGGAGTAATGTATGAGACAAATCTATGTAGTCATCGCCGGTCCCAGGAACTTGAAACTCGATAGGTCCATCATCACCAAGAGATGAAATTGGTTTATAATGAATCCACAATCCATTTTCAATGCTAGTTTGTGTAGACGGTAGTGCAAACAAATCCAATTCTGACTTAACGCACTCGCAAGAATGATTATGAAGGAAAGACATATTTAGTTTGAAAATATATCTTTGATATTTTTTGGTTTTAGACTAAGTTTTTTCGCAGCTTTCACTTTAGCAGTTAATGGTGGAATGAACGATGTCAATCGTTTTCTTTTAGTTTTATACCCAGATCCAGTCATGTTAAATTGATCAATTTTCTCATCAGCCTTTCGTTTTAAATTCGTACTAACTTGCTTTAGACGATCTTTTATTGAGGCTTCCATAGGACGGGCTTGAACCATATCCAATAAAAGTCCTACTCCAGCGCTTAATGCCTCCTTACCAATCACTCGAGCACCACTTGAAAGTAAAGGTAAAACTGATCTGAATAACCCCCCTAAGAAGCTCCCAATACCATGACCGCGTTGATATGGTGAATCCTTATAAATTACTACAACTCCTGATCCAGCTTGATGTGTATAATAATTTTCATATGGACATTTATGATGATCACGAAGAGAATTCATTATTATAATTTTCGGAAATGTAGTATAATACACACGGTTCCAAACTGGAATGGTATTTTTTGTCCTGTACTCGATCTTATAACTATTTCCAGCGTATCGAACTCTCTTCGCATAACAGGTAAGTAGTGAGGTTGAGAGAAAACGTGCATTTTATTTGCACCATAAATGTATTTTGTAGGATCTAATGAAATGACTCTTAATAAAGGAGTCATAACATCACCCACAATCTGAGGATCGATAATGTCGCAATATAGAAATAGTTGAGATGGTAACCCTAAGTGTAAATTAGCAGGACACTTTCCAAAATTTCTCTCTAGGAGATTTTTATTTGGTTCATAACCTAGCTGTAAACTTAATTTGGGTGATAATGTTACGGATGTTATATTTTTATCTAATACCGAAATAGACACAAATTTTGTTATTTCATCATAGCGAAATTTCAAGTTCTCTCCGATACCATTTAACACTCTTAAAATATGCTCAACGTTATCATCTTCATTAGGCATTAACATAGATTTTGTAATGTATATAACATTTTCATGGTCTTGAACAGTAAACATGGTACATGGATATTGAAACTCTACAACTCCAACCGACCATTCACCTTCTAATTTTATAGCTTTTGGTAATTTCGTTGAAAAATTTGTGGTCTTGTTATCAGGAAAGTATTCCATTGAACTATTGCTGAGCAAAGTTAAGTAGAAACTTTCTTTATTCATATTTTTTTTAAACTAGAAGCTAAAATCCAACTGTTAAATTTATCTGGATAACCTTTCCACTTCACTAATACTTCTTTTCTGTTACCTGAATAACGAGTGTCAATTATTTTATCTATTTTATGTTGTGAGGTGGGGTTGTAAGTGATTTTCTGTAATTCTCTTTCATAAAAAGTACCAATTATTGGTTCATTTTGTAAATCTGTTATTGTATAAACAACCCATGGAGATCTATCAATTATTGAAGATATAATAAATATTTCATCACTCCGATTTGATTCATATCCTTTTTGGAATACATGTTTATATTTAGTTATTCGAACATAATCACCCACATTGAAATTTGGTTTAGGATTTTCTAAAGAAAGCTTTTTTGACCGTCTATCATAAAGATTAGTCCAAACTGTCATAATATTGTTGGAATTTACATCACATGGGCACATCTTAATACTAGAGTGAAAGCTGTGATTATAAGAGTATATTAAATCTTGTAAAACATCTATATATCTATAAGTATTATTATGAGTGAAATAACGCCACATTTTCATTTTTAGTGTTCTTTGAAATCGTTCAACAATACTGGCCTTAATGTCAGGATTGTTAGTGGTATAGTAATTAATCTTTTTGGATTTAAAGTATTTTTGTACATCTTTTGAAACAAATTCTGTACCTTTATCGGATTGTATGTGAGTAGGTGTTAAATTACTTTCAGTAAATATACTTTCAAAACATTCTTTAGTTGTTTCTGAGTTTTTCTTTTTCATTGGTCTTGCAAAAGCATATTTACTAAATACATCAATAACACAAAGTATATACTTGAAACCATCATTATATTGAGAATAAGTTCGCGTATCACTTAAATCAGCTTGCCACAGTTCATTAATATTTGATAGAATGTACCTATTACGCGGGAATTTTTTTCGAATGGGTTTATGTAATGTGTATGTTTCTTGTGATTTTAACCATTCCTTTACTTGCTTTTTATTCATTTTACCCTTCATGGCTTTTGATAATTTATCAATACTACCAAAACCAGCGGGATTAGATGGATCATAATAAATCCTGTTAATTTCTTCTAGTACGGGGTCCATTTTTCCCACTCAAGTCCTTTACGTATTTTAGTTGTAGACTTTTTATCTCTACTGCCCGGTGTAGAAAACTCTTGAACTTCAATCTCAGAGGGTTTGTTCAGATCTTTTGCTTGAAGTTGGTTAATAAACTCACATCTCCTTGGATTTCCAATATAAGTAAGTGGTACTTTAATATCTTTTAATGCTTCAGCAAATCTAACCCACCCTACCGGATCACTTCTTTTTAGGGGTCTTAGTGAATCATTTATTAAATCAACAATATTACTTCCGGGAATTTTTTCACTATCAATTATGACTGTACCTTCATTATCCCAATGTATTTTACTTTTACTTGTTTCAACTAACTAAATAATAACTGCCCTTTTTTATGATAAGTTTTTGGTATTAAATTGAGTATTTGAGCTGGTGTGTAAAGTGGATTTTAATCATTTTCTTTACTTCTAATGGATCGATTCTCCTCCAGCAAAGATTCAATATCAACTGAAGTTTTTAGATCTCTATCTTTATTTTTAAAACCAATTTTTGACTCATTTGAATCTTCATTAGATGTATCAGAATAAATTGGTAATTTGAGTGGTTGACGATCCTCTTCGGTAAAATGAAGGTATCTTTGCAGTGTTTGTAAATATAATATCCATTTCTTTCGGTCTTCCGTCTTACTATTCATAATATTTTGCATTTCAATATCTAATCGAGATAAATTACTATTAACCTTATTTTCTTGTTTTGATTTTTCAATCAATCCAGGTTCGATAAGTATCATTTTCTTTGCATTTTCCATGTTAACTGGCTAGTCCACTCACTAATCCACTCAATATTGCACCTAATATTGTTGGTAAGAAAGCCCCTCCTTTTTGTATAATTATATTTTTTCTTAGTTTATGTATACACTTACGTACTAGTTTACGGAGTATGTTTTTATGTTTATTCAATTTTTGTTTATCCTGATCTTTAAGAGGTACTTTTCCTTGTAAAACGTTATGAATACACTCACAAATACAGTTAATTTCTTCTTCATCACACGTTTTAAGTAATGCTCTTTGATATTTTGGTTTAAGCGTATGCAAAGCGGTTAGCAAATGTTTATACGTTGTGAGTCGACGATGCATCATTTAGCAATGATTTCAATTGTTTGATTCTTGGTGTATTTAAACTCTTTTGTGGGGACGTAGACTGTACAGAAACCATTAAATGGAAAGACATTTGTCTTGATACGACAAAAATCATTGGTATTCTGTTTTAAATCTACCATTAAATATCCATGCGCCTCTAGAGTTGCATCCCTGTAGGCATTTTCAATGAATTTTGGGTTATCTGGTGATACTTGTCTTGCTAAATATCTTATTTGAGTTTTATCTCGAGGGTTTTTAAAATATATTATATAACTTGAGTTTAAAGATATGTCTCTTTGTCCTTTACCCTGATGAAATAAATTTTGTGTTAGATAAAATACACTAAGATTCCTGTGATGACTACCTTTTGTAAATATATCCACAATTCTTCCATCGGACTCTCTCATTAGATCATCAATAATAACAAGATGTGGGTTTTCACCATCAAACATATTAAGATTTGGAATTCCTTGATGATAGTTAACATTTGGTAAATTATATAATGGTTGCATTTCATCAAAGCACCATGTGATCTGATTAAAATCACAATTACATATTTCTGTAACTGATTTTATGAAATTTGTTACAAAATTTGACTTCCCACACCCACTTGGTCCTGCCACAATAGCAGTGAACGGATGGATAAAGTGAAACATAACACACGTCTAAAGTTCAAAGGGGTGAAATAAAAAATGAAAGTGTTGGTGTAAACAATTAATATATATTCCAAAAATTATATAAAACAGAATTATCTGTATACTATTTCTAACACAATTAGTACAGCATAATTTTACAATTAACTCCACCTCAAATAAATAGAAACAACAATTAGTACATCATAATTTTACAATTAACTCAACCTCAAATAAATAGAAACAACAATTAACTTAAATTATTTACAATAAAACAATGATTAAATATGTAATAAACTACGTCATATTATAGTATTATCATAATTTTACAATCAATATAAATTTTTCTTAAACGCAGACATAAAAGTAAAAACTATCAACACTTAACGCAGTTTATAATGACCCCAAGCTAATGTTTCAATATTATTATCTAAAATATGTCTCTTTGTGTCATTATATGATAAACCTATCTTATTTAATTTTTGTGTGAAAATTGTGTGTTTAATTGATTTAAATCTAAGCATACTATAATATTGCACTTTTTTATTAAATAGAGAAGACTTATAACTATTCATTGTCATCTTTTTAGTGATACATTTATTTACCCCTTTTGCCTTGGCTATAGTCTTATTCTCTAAGTTAAAAGCGTACATTTTGGATCGTAAACCCACAAATTCTTTCATGATTTTACCATTATTTTCATCTTTAAAAAAACCTAATTTCTTCTTATTTAATTTTGGATATTCAAAAATAATATTTGTATCATAATCTGAGGTATCAAAGTATGATGAAAGGTCAGGTTTTATATCAGTGTAAAAATCATTTGTAAATATATGATATATTAAACTATCCGTATCTGTATACAATAATTTGATTTTACTAAACTTTTTAATCATATAGTTATAATGAAAATCATACATTAATGTTTTTGAAATATCTAAAATGCAAAACCCTAAATAAATTGGTTTGTTATATATTAACTTCGTTT